GTCTATTGCGTCAGCATCTCTAGAGATAACTACCAGACGCGACGCGGCGAATGTATTGTAGGAGTAGAGAGAGATCTACGGTTAAATGCTAAATCTGAGGAAGTTCCAACCCTCTCTCTCTCTAAAGTGCTCTCCCTTCCTTCTTCTTCAAGTGTGGCTGACTTGATCGTCGGAGGGCTATTCGGTCAGCAACTGCGCCGGCAGCTCACCGTCTTTCTGTTTTCAGCCAAGCAAACGATGCGTAAAGCTCGAAGTGCAAGGAGTACGGAGAACAGAGAATATTTTGACCCTCGGTGACATATGCGAAATTAGGTGACATGTAATTAATATTTTATTTCACATACTTTTTCTTTTTTATTTTTTCAAAATCTTCTCCCTAAATCTATAAACCAAAACACATGAAGTCGTTAAGCTTAAGTGAATTTTTATTTTGGCCCCAACTTGCAACGTTGGATTATTTGTGGTAATTTTTTCGATTGGCTAAATAGTTTTAGAAGATGTTGAAATAATTAAAATATATTGTAATTTTGGTTCAGCAATGTTATATATATTAAAAAAAAAATCATTATTTTTATATCATTAGAATTACTTCATGAAAGATTTTTTAATTTTATTAATTTCACTGATGCAATTAAATTTCTCAATACAGGGAATCAAATCACAAAGATTAATCCAAGTAATTTAAAGTATTTATAAGTACTTTATGACATTATTTACGTAGCGTTTTTAAATTAATTAACAATGTTGAAATAAAAATTTATGTGTAAGATATACTTAATTCACTTTGTTATATAATTGGAAACAAAAAAATAGACTTGTTGAATGGAGCATGTCAATTCAAAAGAGCTCGAGAGGGGGCAGCAGATTCAGGGCGTTTCTCAGCAAGCTCGGAACACTCTCGCATAGCTGGTAAATGCTTGGGTCTCTGTTTGGGTGGAGGAAGTCCCTCGTAGTTTAGAATTGTTTTGGCTGCTTCTGACGTGGCTACTTGTTTGAGTATAATGTTTTAACGTTTTCCCTATAAAAAATAAAATAAAATAAAAGGTGGGTATTGCTTCTTTTTTATTTATTTATTTTTTCCTTTTCATATTAAAAATCTCATATAAACAATATAACATGCAATTTTAAAAAAATACATTATTAATTTTGCCAAATGCACACAAAATCCAATGAGATGGACCACAAGCAAAAAGCATCCAGATATTTTTTCCTAAAAAAATCCAAATGCACGTGTAGGGCACTTACGTCACTAACATTAAAGCCAAGCATAGGAGAGAAATTATAGGCGTCGTTGAGCAATGTTTCACATTGTGATACGCAGGGCCGGTTGCCTTTTCTGGGGCTTAAACACGTTTCTAATATAAGGTTTATATACATATTTAAAATAGAATTTTAATAGGGGATTTTTTTTCAGGGTCCTGGTAATTAACATTTTATAGTATAAGGACCACTCAATATTTTCATAATGTCTAAAGGTCCTCAAGTTGATCCAGAGAAAAATTGTTCCTGAGAAAATGATCCAGAGTAATTCATTGTCACAGAGAAATTTCTCACCGTGTGTTTGAATGCTTGTTTTTTTCTCTCTTCGAATTTAAATGGGTGTTTATGTAAGTTGATGTTTTCAGAATTCTTTTCCATTCTTAGTTGGATTTTATGCCAAAAATGAGTATTATATACATATCTCAGTGACCAATAACATATCTCTTTTGGTCAAATCCAAATCACAGAATTTCTCTGGATCAACCCCAGAG